GGTGGGGCATGGTGGCTCACACCTGTAATCCCAGCACTTTGGGAGGCCGAGGCAGGTGGATCACGAGGTCAGGAGTTTGAGACTAGCCTGACCAACATGGTGAAACCCCATCTCTACTAAAAATATAAAAATTAGCCAGGCATGGTAGTGTGCGCCTGTAATCCCAGCTACTTGGGAGGCTGAGGCAGGAGAATCACTTGAACCCAGGAGGCGGACGTTGCAGTAAGCTGAAATCATGCCAACTGCACTCCCACTCAGGCAACAGAGCGAGACTCTATCTCAAAAAAAAAAAAAAAAAAAAATTATGTGGTAGAGTTACTAATTCAGTCTTTTAAAAATGTAAAAATGTGATCACTTTTGAGGAGCAATTTCTTCTTAAACAGCTTCCTGTTTAAGATTTCAAATAACTCACTCAGCTGTATTTGTAAAAGCCACAGAACTATCATGTAACATAGTGATCCCACTTTTAGGACTGTATCACAAGCAATTTTCCAAAAAAGTGCTTATTTGCACAAAGACAATGCTAACTACACATTAACTTAAAGATAAAAAAACAATAAAAAGGAATGACTAAGCCAATAAAACAGATCAGCACTATACCATCTTCAAATTAGCTATTTTTAAATGCCACTGTTTACATAGGAAATGTCTAAGGAAATAAAAGTAATAGAGGAGAAAAAAAGTAAACTATACACTAATCACAACCAAGTAATAATTGTACCTGTAAGTACAAGATAGAAAGGAACACAGAGTCTTGGGAGAAGAAATTTATGAAAAATGTTTTGTTCTTTGGGCTTAGAAACAATGACATCTTGGTAGTAATGAGCATACCTAGCGCCCAAAACTGGGTTTCTAAAAACCATTCTCCTGCAAAAGGGACCAGAGAGAAGTGAATGATTGATTCTAAGGTTGGGCAAAGAAGACACAAGACAGACCTAAAACCTTTTGTAGTACCAAAAAGTAATCAAATGCTCAAAAAAACTGATAAGCACATGCTGAAAGAATACAGGAACTACATGGAAGGAGCTCCTAATAGCCAAAGTTGGGACAATTTGAGGAACAAATAAATAAAGCCACAGAAATGTAGACTTAAATGTGGTTAAAATGGCCGGGTGCAGTGGCTCACACCTGTAATCCCAGAATTTTGGGAGGCTGAGGTAGGTGGACCATGAGGTCAGGAGATTGAGACCATCCTGGCCAACATGGTGAAACCTCATCTCTATAAAATACAAAAAATTAGCTGGGTATGGTGGCACCCGCCTGTAGTCCCAGCTACTTGGGAGGCTGAGGCAAGAGAATCACTTGAACCTGGGCGGCGGAAGTTGCAGTGAGCCAAGATTGTGCCATTACGCTCCAGCTGGGCAACAGAGCAAGAGTCCATCTCAAAAACAACAAAAATTTTTTAATGTGGTTAAAGTGATAAATTCTGGAATAAAATTTGGGCACTTGCTACAACATAGACGAACTTTCAACATTCTATTAAGTGAAATAAGCCAGTCACAAGAAGACAAACACTCTATGATTTTACTTATATGAGGTACCCAGACTAGTCAAATTCATAGAGACAGAAAGTAGAATAGTGGTTACCACAGACTAGGGGGAGAAGAGAATAGGAAGTTATTACTTAATGGGTACAGCGTTTCTGTTTGGGATGATGAAAAAGTTCTAGAAATGAATAGTGGTGACAGTTGCACAACAATGTGAATATACGTGATGCCATTGAACGGTACATTTAACTAATAATGGTTAAAATGGTAAATTTTATGTCATGTATATTTTACCACAACAAAAAAATGTAAAAAAATAAAGTCAGCAAAATAAAAGTATGCACTCACCATTAACATGGCTAAGAAATTTTAAATCTTTAAAACATACTGGCTATAAATACCACCTAGTGGTCACATTTAAAACACCAAATTTCCTTATCTAACACAGTTGTCTGCTTTTCCTCAATAACTTTACTTGTTTACTAAATAAGCACCTCCTCTAAACATTTGTGATGCTTATGTCTCTGAATTTCACCTCTGATCTAGACAGTTTCCTCATAGACTACAAAGGTGCAGTTTCAAAGACCTCTGTTTACCTGGTTTGCAAAGGAGTTCTGTACCAATCAGAAAGGACCTGTTTCTTGCATAAAGGGGCAAGGAATCACTGTGCACTTCATGACTGGGAAGCTTCTCACTCTCATAAATAAGCTCTTCAAATTTTCTAACTTTCTAGAATGATGTTGTTAGAAAACAATTTCCAAAATAGAAGCTCATGTTCAAATTTTGGTATGAAAGGATATTTTAAAGGTCATGCAATGCATTTTTTCTTATAGAAAACTTGGTTTACTCACATCTGTCTAACATCTTTCTTTACTTCAAATAACAGTGAGCTAACATTGCAAAGCCAGAATTCTGGTCATTTTCACCTAAATATATACATTCAGAATTTACTCTTATGCAGAGACAAATAAACGTTCATTCTTTAACAAGTGGTCACATGAAATCTATAAATCATGGGAATGTTTTTAGAAAACCACATACACAAATACTATGTAATTCTACTTAAGCTTAATATGAAAATGCTAAAGTATATAAATACCAAGTCACTTTCCAGAAATATTCATTTAACTACCAATGTTAGAGGCTCAAAAAATGTTTAATAGAGTACTTTTATTAGAACACTTAGTGGTTCAACAACATATTTTTAGCCAACATAAAGATTAATATTTTGAGAAAAAGTTACCTTCTTCAAGCTTCTTTTTCAGTTCTTCTATTTCTTTCTGGAACTGACGCAGCAAAGCATCCTTTGGATCTTCATTAATTCTAGCTTTATTTTTAATATTCTTAGCACGATTGGCATACCGTAATGTACTGATAGTTTCATCATAATTGTAATCTGCTGGCCCAATATTTGCACACTGTTGAATTAGAAACATGAAACAAATCATTTTATACTTGACACAGTTAAAATTAACATAACCATTACAAATATGTCAAAAACTGTTTAAAGCAAATATGTACCCTTGGCTTTCTTGAAAAAGAGTGTGTCAACCACATGGGTTTCCAAATGACACTATTATGGGCTAATACACGAGTGTACCACAGAAAGGACAACCACAAGTCAAAAAAAGTAAAATAATCAATAATTTTACAAATGTGATACATAATAATTACTGGAATAAAGTGAAATCTTAAATTTGCCTGATGTTAACAGTATCACCAATTAAGTCTTACCATCATAGTTTTTGAATTTCCTCCTAAGGAATCCTGAAGAAGACGAGTCAATTTAGAGTTACGATAAGGCACATGAGTGCTTTTTCCATCAACCAAGGCAGAAATTACATTACCAAGGGTGGAAAGTGAAAGATTGATTTTTGTAGCTTCCTTTAGGCGCTGTCCAGTAGCTCCCGTTTTTGCTTGCCTTTCTGAACCCTAGCAATAAACAGAGATGAAAGTAAAAACAAAATTAAAAAAAAAATAGAATATTCATCCCAAGGTTTTATTAAAAAGTAATCTTAAAAAACTTGATACGATGCCTGGAATTCACTTCAAAATAATCTAGGAAGGGAAGAAGTGGGTGAGAGCAGGTAAAACAAGATTAGCCATGAGCTGATTGCTGGAGTTGGGTTATGTGTGTGGAGGACCATTATACTAGTCTATCCACTTTCATATACATTTGAAATGTTCCATAATATATAATAAGCATATACAAGTAACAACTTAAAAATCATATGTAAATCATACCTCTTCGCTTTAATTTTTATTCATTTATAAAATAAATGGATCACAATAAAGAGTTATTCCTTATGCAATGTCCTGTTACTTACAGCAAGATCTACAAGATGGAGCTTCCCCATCCTGACATGCATGTTACCGTCAATGCCTTTTTCACTGCATTCTATAGTAATTGTAAAGATGGCATGAGAACGGGAACTATGTTCGTTCATATTAGTTGCACCAACAGAACCTTTAATAAATAAAGGAAATCCTTAAAAAGTGTAACAGAGTGCCTTTAAAAATAATTAAACATCCAGAACAGTTTAAAATACTTAATTGCATCACAATCAAAAGCCAGAGAGCATAGCTAAACTTTAAAGGCATGGGTGTGTACTCAGCCATTATGTGAAATGTCTCTTATACTTTATGTTAACAAAATAATTTTTAAGGTTTCTCATATTAAAGACATAACATTAGCAAAAAATAATTACAATCCCAAATAATTCTGCCTAAAAAATAACTAATTTACACCCAGAAACCCATGTTAATTGGAGAAATTATTGCTGATTTAGCTGTCTAAAGAGAATTATGCATGCTGGTGTACTGTAGGAAGTAAAAAATAACAATAATAAAGAGAATTTTAGCTGGGCTAGAATTTTAGCTACTTGGGAGGCTGAGGCACAAGAATCGCTTGAATCTGGCAGGCAGAGGTAGCAGTGAGCTGAGACTGCACTCCAGCCTGGGCAACAGAGTAAGACGCTATCTCAAAAAAAAAAAAAAAAAAAATTATGTTCTAGGCATATAAATCACAGGAATATTTGCACATATGTTAGAAAATACAACAATATTCAGTGCAGCATTACAAAAAATAAGGTATATCTAAAGACATGGAAAAATGCCCTGAACATATAAATTAAAAATAAAAGCAAGTTAAAAAGGAACACATAACCATAATCCTACTTATGTTAAAACAAATCCATTCATAATATGCAAAGCATTTGTATGTGTGTAAATATGTGAATACACTGTGTAAACAAAAAACATTTATTTAAAATAGACATGTATTAGTTTTTTTCTTTAATTCCAAAGGATTTTAAAAGCATTAATTCTACTCAATGCCAAAATTATCTTCCTACAAGATTCATGCAGAACTTTTCCATGCAAGCTTTGATTTTAGAATTTAAACATTAAATTAGGAGATAGCTATATTAGAAGTCAGATAACATGAATGCAATTTGCACCGATAGAGAAAAATAAAGCCTGATGAAAGAAGGTAAATGAAGAACTAGTGAATGAAAGCACAAGAGTTTACGATTCCATACTATATTTTTCTATATTCTTTTAAATCAAATTGAATTTTTTTTTTTTTGAGATGGAGTTTCACTCTTGTTCCCCAGGCTGGAGTGCAATGGCGCAATCTCGGCTAACTGCAACCTCCACCTCCTGGGTTCAAGCAATTCTCCTGCCTCGAGTAGCTGGGACTACAGGTGTGCACCACCATGCCCAGCTATTTTTGTATTTTTAGTAAAGACAGGGTTTCACCATGTTGAGCACGATGGTCTCGATCTCTTGACCTTGTGATCCACCTGCCTCGGCCTCCCAAAGTGCTGGGATTATAGGTGTGAGCCACCGTACCCAGCCCAAATTGAAAAATTTTAACAACAAAATTAAAAATAGGCCAGGCGCGATGGCTCACAGCTGTAATCCCAGCACTTTGGGAGGCCGAGGCAGGTGGATCACCTGAGGTTGGGAGTATGAGAGCAGCCTGACCAATGTGGAGAAACCTCGTCTTTACTAAAAATACAAACTTAGCCCAGTGTGTTGGTACATGTCTGTAATCCCAGCTACTCATGAGGCTGAGGCAGGAGAATGGCTTGAACCTGGGAGGCAGAGGTTGTGGTGAGCCGAGACTGTGCCACTGCACTCCAGCCTGAGTAACAGGAGCAAAAACTCCATCTAAAAAAATAATAAAAACAAAAATAAAGAGCTATTCATTTATACACCACTTCAAATCCTCTGTTCAGTAGTGACATACACGCATGTTTCCATAGAGTTATTAGGTCTTACTTTATCTTCTGGTTTTTTTCCACTTAACAATTATCTCTTATGTATATTTCCATGAAAAAACAACCTGAACATTTTACTGAAATTGATTTTGTTATTTCTTTACTGTTAGAGATTTGGGATTGTTTCCTATCTTAGGTCCTTACAAGTGATACTATTATGAGCATCTTTGAATAGATCCTTTCTTTCTCTTTAGGGTTATTTCCACAGAATATATTTTCCAAACTGGAATTACCAAGTCAAAGGATAGGAACAGTGTTCTAACTATGTGATTATTAATCACACTGTAGCAGTGTTGTCCAATTTGAGGTGAGACAGAATATGTAATTTGAAAAAAAAAATCATATTAGCTGTTTTAATAACTATTGTTTTTGCAATATGAGTAAAGCATGCTATGGACGATTGTAATTTTTCTGTATTTCCAGTTACAAAAATAAGGCACTGCAGCAGACAAGCTGCTAAAAGTTACCTACATTGAACTTTACAACCACTGGGAGAGAACAGCTAATAGTAATCAAGTAGACTCAACACTCAAAACTGCTGAAACATCACATAATGAAACAAAATAAAAACCACCTTTACTGCTCTATTTTCTATCACAGTATTTATTTTTAAATATGAAAGAAAATTAAATTTTTATGCTTTTCCAGAGGGTACAGAACAATTTATTCTATAAATACACCTGCATGTGTATACTCATATATATACAAGAATGTGTACTGCAGTGTTGCTCATAATAGCAAGACTGAAAACAATCCAAAAGTCCATCAATAAAAGATAGAGTAATTTATGGTACATCCATCCAACTAAAGACTATATAGTCATTTTTTAATGTCTATATATGTGGTAATATGTGTTCATGTGAAATGATCTCCAAGAAGATACTAAGTGAATAAAATACGCTATTATCTCAGAAGTTCAAGAACAGCCTGGCCAACATGGTGAAACCCCATCTCTACTAAAAATACAAAAATTAGCTGGCTGTGGTGGCAAGTGCCATTGCACTGCAGCCAGGGCAACAAGAGCAAAACTCTGTCTCCAAAAAAAAAAAAAAAAAAAA